CCCTGCACTGCTGCCTCTAATAGAGGGTTGGTGCTGGCTCTGCAGGGCACACTGGCTGCTGCCCCTTCCTGGAGACTACTGAATAGTTGTGTAACCACTAAAATTTCATGTGGTTACTTGACTATTCACTTACACAATATCTAAAATCCCTAGTTTGCGCTCTCACATGAAAACTTCAGGCTCACATTTAGAGCTTTTCCACATTGCATAAATAATTACATATTTATTGAACCAGAGAAAACTGATTATATAGCCAAAGTAGAGCAATTCCAGTAGGAAATAGTGAGAGTGGAATTCTTCTACTACCCCAAATAATTGTCATTCTGGTGGTCAGGACACTTGCCCAAAGTGGTGGGAGTATTAGTTATTTTATGAATAATTTTGGAAAGATCTGGATTTTGTCCCAGTGCAGAACAGAAAATATTTTGAAATTTTCATATTTTTTTTTATGGGATGAGAAAAGAATTTCCCACCCAGCTCTGTTGTTTTACCCATTGGCATTTCTTCCAGATCCACTGGTAATGCATATAGAATAGTAATAGAAATGTAGCTGTGTTAGTCTAGTCTAGCTGAAACAAAAAACAGGACTATGTAGCACTTTAAGGTGCTTCATAGTCCTGTTTTTGGTAATGCATAGATTGACCAGTAGAAGGCGCTGAATACCCATCTTTCCTTACTTTTAAATGTGCTCAGCTTTTGGATCACATTCATTTTAGAATACAGGGTTATATCTGCTACCCTAACTCCATTTCCCTCTGTTTAGCTCTAGTATGTAATGATAGCTATGACATAAAATAACATAGACAGCTAGTTAAAGTTTGTTGGAGTCTCAGACAAATCTCATAGTATTTGGCTTTAAAAATTGTCAAGTTTAATTGCCAGATTTGAGAAGATAAGAACTTATTATAGAACACTAATATTGTGAACACTACTCATGTAAAACTTGTCCCCTCCCTTTCCGACCAAAGGAAAAATGCCTTTCATATTTTGTCTGATACACAGATTTTTAAAGAATAAATTCTTAAAAGTATTACAGAAAGATCAACTGGAGTGTGTATATAAGTATGGAGATAAAATATGCATTGAAAAATATGACTCATATCAGGATTATCACCCTTTTTCCCCTTAAATTCTTTTACATGTAGTCAAGAACAGCATCCATTACTGTTGCAAGAAAAACATTGTCTGGAAAATAGCCAGCCTTTGTTCTGAGTCACGGTAATGGCATACCTTGCAATAACTTTCAAGGAGTGCAAAGTTTGTTTGAAGTCTAGCATGTGTCTTCAGGCTGAATACATGTTTGAAAGAGCTACCACAGATATCAAAGCAATAACGTTTTAGAATACGTGTCAGCAAGCCATATTTGGCTCTTTCGCAGCTTAAGCTGAGCCCCTCCGCTCCAGTCTCATGGCCCTCTGCAAAATTGGAGCACCAGCACTGGCTTCCTGCTGGGGGATGAGGGGGAAGCCTGTAGCCTCCCTGCCAGATCTGTCTTTTGGGAAAGCAACCAGAGCTAGAAGAGGCTGTGTACTGTTGCTCCCCTCCCCCAGCTGGGGGAAACAAGTGTGCAGACACACTTTGTGGAGCTTTCCCTGCTGCTCCCATTGGAACAGCGGGGAAAGCCTCTGGTGCCTAGGAGTGGCATGCAGTGTGAAAACAAGTGCTCCCCCAGATCCTGCACCCCCAATCCTCTCTCACAATCCCTCCCTTGCCAAGACCCTGCACTCCCAGCCTGCTCCTGCACCTTCTCCCTGGCCAGATACCCTATCTACCCCCATCTTGCTCCTCCAGCCTCCCTTGCTCCTACTCCTCTCCCTCCAGCCAGACACACTACTCCCAGTCTGCTCCCACACCTTAGCTCCCTCTGAGACTTCGCACCCTCACACCCTCCTGCACCCCCATCGCTATCCCATTCACTGGCAGCCCTATCCCACACACTTAACTCCTCATTTCTGGCCCCACCACAGAGCCTCAGGTGGCCCACAAAATCCACTAACGCTGGAACCCCAGAAGAGTAAATCTGGCCTATGGCCTTGAACTGCAGTCCTCCTAGTCCCTCTCCCCACCATGGGGATGGAACACCAGGGAAATGAGGTGTTTCAGTTGGGGTCCACAGCAGTGAGGGTTGGGGATTTTTGGAGAGGTTTTTTTTTTTCTTCTCATTTCTGTGGTCCCTGACTGATTTTTTTCTGTGGGTCAATGGCCCCCAACCCAAAAAGGTTCCTCACCCCTGCTGTAACAAAGACTGTGTTGAAACCTTTTGTGTTAGACATAATATTTTACTTTATTTAAAATGAAGCTTGGCCAGTGAGTCCCCAATTGGTACCCAGCCCGCATCTGGCTGTAGCGTCATAACACTACTAACCCTCCCCCCCACACACCCAAACCCTGTGGTGTCAGTTCATCACATACCCAAACTCCCTGCCCTGAGTCCTACATACACCCAGCCCAGACTCTTGCACCCCACATTCCTAGCCCCTGCCATAAGATTGACAAAAGATAGCCTGAAAGTGCACATGAAGCTGGATTTGACCAGTTACCATGTAAACTTCAAAGAAATGTGCAAAATGATGCAACACTGGAATCTCCATTAAATAGTCTGTGAGTACAATGTTTCATTTATGCTATTACTAATCATTGTCAATTATCAATAATATTAAGTTGTATATTTTAAGTCATGCAAATGGGCATTCTTATATGGGCTCTTTGTTGCCCACATGTTCTGAATTTTGATGTAGTTTGACTCTTTGTTTTGAAAAGGTTGCCCTGGTTTAGAAGATCTGGCAAAATATTTGTCAAGCCTATTGAGTGCCCACTGAAGTTCATGGGAGTTTTTCTATTTAGCTTAATGGGCTTTGGATCAGTAGTCGCTTCTAACAGCTAGTTGCTCCAAAATATACTATCTTTATTGCAAGGAACAGTTTCTTTCATGAGAAATACAGGTTGAATCTCACTGGTCCAGCATCCTTGGGACCTGGTTGGTCCTGGATGAGGGAAGGTCATTTCTGCGCCCCCCTTGCCATCAGTCCCCTCCCCCTCCCAGTCATGGCCTCACTGCCAGCCTCCCAGCTGGCTTCCCCCTGCCAGTGGCCCCTCAGTGCAGAGTTCTTGGCTTCACCATGGCAGCTCCGCCGCTTCTTGCACAGGCTCCTAGCCTTGCATGGCAGTCCCTCTGCTGAGGTCCAGCTGTACCACTGGGCAGCACCCCCGCTTGGGCTTCAGTCTCACTGGGCAGCGCCACTGCCTCCTGGCCTCACCAGGCAGCTCCACCAAGCTGCAGCAGGGCTGCTGGGTTCTTTGTGACGCTGCTGGGAAGCCCCCATTCCTGGGTGCCTAGCCCTGCTGCCAGGCAGCCTCGCCATCAGGCAGTGCCCCAGTCGGGCTCCCAGCCTTGAGTATCCCTGCTGCCTCCTAGTCCTGCCACATAGCTGTGCTGCTGGGTGGTAGCGAGGTTGCCAGGCTCCTGGTTGTGCTGCCTGGCAGCCCTGCTGCCGGGCAACTCCACTGCTTCCCGGTCTTGCTGGGTAGTGTTTCTGCTGTGCGGCAGCCCCGTTGCTGAGCTCTAGCTTGCTGGGCAGCCCCGCTGTCTTCTGCTCCCCCTACCCTCGCTGGGAGGCAGCCCTGCTGCAGGACTCCTCAGCCACCAGCCCTCCACGGGACACTGCAAGGACCAGGGATGTTGCCAGACCAACCTGTAGTCTTCGAACTTGTCTACTTACAAAAATTGTACTGTGTTAACTATACTAGTATAATTATAGCAGAACAATCCCTCTTGTGTGGATGCAGTTATCGTGGTATCAAGGAGCTTATATGGGTATAGTTTACTTGCAAAAGGGAGTAATTAGAGGTTACCTCGCTATAAATACTTTGGAATGAAATCCCATCTCTAACTGAACAAGTTATACCAGTACATAACTAAAACATGTGTTGCCCAGCTCTTAACAGCAACCAATGCTCTCAAAAATCTGGTGCTTCTCAGACTGATTCAAGGCATCCAGGAAATTAGTATTACGTATGGGGACCTGGTCTACGTGCAGTTATAAATATTCATCTGACTTTTGGTTTTAGAATTCTAGAAAGCACTTCTTTTTGGTCAGTCCCAAGTCATGCTGTCTGCCAATCAATCTGTATGTTATAAGAGCTTTACATGTCCAGTATGGCTTTGCTGTGTTGTGTACATTTGAGAGGATGGAGCATCCCTCATGTAGGCTCTAGGCTCACTTTTTGTTATTTAGACAGACTGATGCTAACTTGTCCAAAAACATGTAACACAAACCTAGTCCCACACTCTGTAGTTTACTAAATGTACTTGATTTGTAAGCAGTTTGAGATAGAGATCAACTTTTCCTTACATTTCTACAGTGCCTTGCACAGTGGAGCCTGATTCCTGACTGGGATCTCTATAAGCACTGTTCCAATACAAATAATAATGCTTGTTAAGTCAGCTACTCTGAAATGGGATAACAGTAGGAGCTAATTGCCATGAAAAATTCTAAGGCCTGCTGTTAGAGAGACAGAGTGACCAACGTTTTGCTTTATTTTTCTTTGCTTTCCTGAAATAATTTTAGTATTTTTAAAAGGCACTGTTAAAATAACTCTGCATGTTATGTCACCTTGTTTTTCGTGTGCATTTAGGTTCTGACATAAAAATCCTTGAAGATCAGTTTGATGAAATTATAGTAGAGACCGCTACGAAGCGTAAGCAGTGTCCCATAAAGATAATGGTACATCTCATCAAAACTATGAAAGCAGAGCAAGAAATGTTGGTAAATATCTTGATTTTTCCCTTTGTAAAGATGAAGTCTTAGTAATAAGACCTTATTGCACTCTATTATTAAATCTTTGCAGAGATATGCAGCAAGACTGCTAGCTTTGCTTGTTATCTGAAAAGATGCTATTACAAAAAACAGAGAACATTAATTAAGCTTATGTTGGTCCTAAAGTAATATTTTTAAAGATACTTCTCTTGTGTTACTGATGGCCCCTTAAGATTTTGCAATTATGTTAATGAGATTATTCTGTTTACTGTCTGTAAATTTATTTCCTTAAATTTTTCACCAAGAATGACTAAATTCTTAAAATGTGTCATCACTATACATTTTAGCAGTAGTTTATTTTTCTTTGTCTTCGGCTGTAAGAAGTCTTCATGGACAGCACAACAGGTTTCCCACTATCACTACTGTCTTAGTGTATGTCTCTTGAGGCAATGGCTTCATTTAATAGCCTGTGACCATAACTGACTTACACTTTTCTCCACAAATCACTCCCGTTTAAGTAAAATAGCTACACCTGCTCTGCACAGCTGCCGGTGTGAGGCTGCCTCAATTAAGGCTCTTCAAGAAAATCCATTAAATAATGCTTGAGCAGCACAAGTCGCATACTTCCCTCAGTTGGAATTGTTGTCTTCCATATTTCCAGACTTGTTAACAAAGCATGAGAGCCATAAGAATTTTGTTCCGCTAGTGACTAATGGCAGCAAGAAGTGACTCTCTTATCCTGGTCTGCTCACAATTTTAAGAAGTGACTTGTGGCGGAGAAAATATTTTATGGGTCAGACTCGGGACCGGCTCTAGGCACCAGCAAAACAAGCAGGTGCTTGGGGTGATACGTTGCCAGGGGCGGCATTCCGGCCTGAGAAGGAGCAGGCGAGGAGCCCCACGGAGGCTGCCCCGAATTGGGAGCCCCATGCCCGGCTGCTCGGAGCCTGCATCTGGCCCCGGGAGCTCTGCGCGGGCAACCCTGAGTCCTTGCTGGGGTGCTTCCTGGAGGGCGGCAAGGGGCGGCCACGGCTGCTGCTGAGCCCAGTGGCCTCTTCTTCACCTTTGA